AATTGGTTTGCCTATTTTCGCAGTTGTCATGGGTCAATACTTACAGAAAAGGTACCCAGAGGCCGTGTTGGGAAGTGGGTACAGGTGATAGAATACAGTCTTGGAGAGGAAGGGTCATAGTCGCAGAGAAAGTAACCAGCACTTAGATCCCGGAATGAACTTACGAAGGTTTTTCCACTTAGTGTAGCTACTTGAATACCGCCGTAGCCGCCACGAAGGCGCTAAGAAGGAAAACATTCGTAAGTACCTTCCTGAATCCGGCCCCTGGGTTTTACCCCAGCTGCAGCGCTGTATTATACAACAACTGATGTATAATACACGTCCCCCCCCCACGCTAGGCTAAGATGCGTAGTCGTGTTGGGCCGCGCTTGGAGCAGAATTCTTTTTTGTTAATAGAAACTTCTTTCTTCTGTTGGCGTCTTTATCCTTCAGTCTTGTTAGCTTCATTCTTATTATTTTTTTGTTTACCTTTTCCGTGCTTGGATATTTGTTATTATGCTACTCGACTGATTGCTGTTGTTGTTATAGATTCAGCTACAAGTTCCAAGTAGCACGGGCTATGGTGAGGCCGTAGCTTACCTGGCACAGGACCGGGGCAAGTAGCACGGGCTATGGTGAGCCCGTAACTTACCTGGCACAGGAGCAGTGCTCTCGATTGATCATCTGACGCTGTATATATAGGTTTAGCCTTGCTCAGGGTCATCAGGTGACATTTTTACAGGAGCTGGTGCATATGAAGTTGAGTTGCAAAGGGTAACTCATGATGACGGTTGTGTTGAAAGGGGTTACAGGATCAGTTGCAAGAGCAAGAGGGGGTTCTGCAATGATGACTGCAGGAGGTACAATCCATATTGCAAGATCAGTTGTAGGGACGTTTAGCGGGTGCTCTTCTGCTGGCGGTGACAAGTTCCAGTTGAAGTGTATAGAAGCGCCGCTACCCGGGGTAAAGTTGGGAATACAGTTGCTTGTATGTTGAAGGAGGCTGTAGAGACCTGGGGCCGGATTCATAGTGCAACTCCTGTCCCTACAGTTGTACATAACTATTATGTTCTTTGTACACACAATCTACTGAATAAAGATTATTATTATTGGCTGCTTCTAACGCATCCTGGATGATGTAGTGGGGGGGGGGGGGGGTAAAGTACCTCTATAGAGCCTCTTCATTTATTTATTTACTTATTTATTTATATATATATACAAGAAGGTACATTGGGTATGTGAGAATACATTGGATAGTACAGTATTTACATTCTTGTAAAGCCACTAGTACGCGCAGCGTTTCGGGCAGGTCCTTATCTAGCAGATAATTTTAAGTAGGTAATTCCTATCAGAATTGATTTCATTGCTGAAAAGTAGTTGAACTCTCCACGAGCCCCCCTGAACCGCGCCTTAATCTTGTGTACCATATGGTACCTCGCTGATGCCTACCTGGAGCGAGTTCATGTTAATTGAGACAAGAAAGAAATACATCTCAAAGGGATAGAATACATCTACGTTAGGCTATTTCTACCCCCCCCCCCCCCCCAGGGTCGCGCCAGAGCAATTCAGCTGTTACATTTTCCCCCCTCCCCTAAACAATGGCAATAGAAAAGCAACTTTGCAACATAAATTAACTAGAAAGAGTACCAGTGACCCAAGGACCACCAACAACTTAGAACCACGTACCGTTCATGAGAACTGAACCAAGTCTAACAGGCTACCTATCCCCCCAACAACATGCCATATATAGATGATATATGGTATATCATCTATATATGGCATATATATATGATAATATGCCATATATCTGGAGTTGATTGTAAGCTCTAGCTAGTCGATGTGTACTTGCTAGTTACCTGTATAGCTAGTATAATGTTAACGTTATTCTTACACATATACAAATCTAACTTGACCTAACCTAACGTAGCCTAATTTAGCCTAATCTAACCTATCATAACCTAACCATTACATACACTGTAAAGATTTTTTCCAATATAAACTATTGTATTATCTTTAGAAATCTCACAATGTGAACATTTTGTAGTTGCCAATACACGAATATAACTGGTAGTTCACATTTGAAATCTGTTGTAGCAGTATCAGTAGTCAACATCAACCCTTGTACTAGCAGTAACAGTATAGTGATCTCAGAGTAGTCAACATCAACCCTTGTACTAGCAGTAACAGTATAGTGATCTCAGAGTAGTCAACATCAACCCTTGTACTAGCAGTAACAGTATAGTGATCTCAGAGTAGTCAACATCAACCCTTGTACTAGCAGTAACAGTATAGTGATCTCAGCATAAATCAATGTGCTTCAACTGTACACTAACTGCTCTTTTTCTCTAATATTCACTTTAATTGCTGCACAGGACAATCAGACGTATCAAGTGAGTGTTTCATAAGATAAAAAGTGTGGCTATCGTTCGCTGCTTGCCTCTCCCTACCAATTTTTCAAACTATATATGAAAAAAAAACTCAAATGTGCCTCTGTTATACATTGCATGACCGATACGATTAATAATAACATGAATAATAATAATATTGATCAAATAACACACACTAGAAATTGAAGGGACGACGACGTTTCGGTCCATGGTCAATTATCAAGTCAATTGTGACTTGATAATGATCCGAAACGTCGTCGTCCCTTCAATTTCTAGTGTGTGTGGTTTGGTCAACATTTTTTTAGCTACGTTATTGTGACTCCTAATCTGCATTAATATTAATATTTTATAATATAACGCACAAACAGCGGTAGTAGTAATTTGCTTTGTGATTGTAACTTGCTTAGCTAAATGAATTGTGGGGTTCAGTCCCTGAGCCCATTATGTGCCTCTGTAACCCATTCCACTACCGCTCACAAGATGGGTATGGGGTGCATAATAAATGAACTAAACTAAAAAACTAGTAATTTGCTTACTAATTTTCACTCTTTGGGGGCTGCACGAAGACTAGGCTACAGTGTTACGAGGCTTGGTTTGTGGTGTTTCAGTCCTTGATGTGGTGTTTGGCCTCTGTGTGTGGTGCTTCTGGGCTTACTATCGCACCTCTGGGCTTCTCGTGGCACCTCTAGGCTTGCTGCTTCACCTCTGTGCTTGCTTTGTGAACCCCTGTAGCTCTCACCCTTCCTTCATTCATTCCTTCCAGAGGGCCCATACCATCGCAGTCTTGATGTTATCATGCAGTACATTAAATTCCTCAGTGATTAAAGAAAATATCAAATGAAGCTGGATCTTATGTGCTCCTTAGAGCATCGGATTGACACCATAGAGCATTGGTTGACACCATAGAGCATTGGTTGACACCATAGAGCATTGGTTGACACCATAGAGCATTGGTTAACAATATGGAGCAAATTTGATGTTAATTTTAACTTTCCTGACATTTTTCTTCTTTCCTGTTATATAGGAGTGTGTACTTAGCAGGTATCCCCTCTTGGGTGTCACAATACAGTGACCTCTGGACTAACAATACAGTGACCTCTGGACTAACAATACAGTGACCTCTGGACTAACAATACAGAGACCTCTGGACTAACAATACAGTGACCTCTGGACTAACAATACAGTGACCTCTGGACTAACAATACAGTGACCTCTGGACTAACAATACAGTGACCTCTGGACTAACAATACAGTGACCTCTGGACTAACAATACAGTGACCTCTGGACTAACAATACAGTGACCTCTGGACTAACAATACAGTGACCTCTGGACTAACAATACAGTGACCTCTGGACTAACAATACAGTGACCTCTGGACTAACATACAGTGACCTCTGGACTAACAATACAGTGACCTCTGGACTAACAATACAGTGACCTCTGGACTAACAATACAGTGACCTTTGGACTAACAATACAGTGACCTCTGGACTAACAATACAGTGACCTCTGGACTAACAATACAGTGACCTGGACTAACAATACAGTGACCTCTGGACTAACAATACAGTGACCTTTGGACTAACAATACAGTGACCTTTGGACTAACAATACAGTGACCTCTGGACTAACAATACAGTGACCTCTGGACTAACAATACAGTGACCTTTGGACTAACAATACAGTGACCTCTGGATTATGTAGTTCAATCCTACACCCACCTTCAATCCTAACAGCACACGTATGGTAATAGAGATAACCCTACCAGGATTCTTATCCGCCTATTTTGCTGCTGATGAATCAATGTTTGAAGATCCTATCAGAGCACATGAGAGTAATCAGCTGATATTCATGATCCCAGGGTTATTATAGTTAACAGTCAGTGGGATACTACTATCCAGGGGCCAGATTCACGAAGCAGTTACGTGAGTACTTACGAACGTGTACATCTTTCCTCAATCTTTGACGGCTTTGGTTACATTTATTAAACAGTTTACAAGCATGAAAACTTGCCAATCAACTGTTGTTATTGTTATAAACAGCCTCCTGGTGCTTCAGAGCTCATTAACTGTTTAATAATTGTAAACAAAGCCGCCAATGATTGAGAAAAGATGTACAGGTTCGTAAGTACTTGCGTAATTACTTCGTGACAGTGTTGATCAAATACAATGGAAAAAGTAAGCAATTTAAGATGGCAGACTAGCAATGGCAACAATACGGTTGTGTTGAATTCCATGTACATATATGTATATTATTACATATATGTATGAAATGCATACATATATGCATTTTATTCCTTCTGAAGATGTATTAATATACGAAAGTACTTAAGGAAATTCCTGTTTCAATTCTTCCTCCGTGGTCTGACACTGTCACATTTTTCATCACGTTAATTTTCGAGATTTACACAAATGTATATTATTAGTGTAGGATTCAGTGTTTACATTATATATATCTCACCCAGCATTATTTTTATGCTTGTTATTATTATTATTGTTCATCTAGTCTTCATTCTAGTTATGTCTTTTGTAATGTATTCATTTTATGCCATAAAGGGTTCAGGTGAGGCTACGCCAGGCTGCTCTCTAATCGTTTGTTAGTTCACATCATCTTTCCTGCGTATGTCAGAACAAAATAGTAGTTATTTCCTTCCTTTATCCATAGTATTGTATCATTATAGTGAGAAAATTGAAGCCATACTGTGGGATCGAATCCAGGAGCCAGATTCATGAAAGGACTTACGAACCTTACATCTTTTCTCAATCTTTGGCGGGTTTGTTTACAATTATTAAACAGTTAGTGAGCCCCGAAGCACCAGGAGGCTGTTTATAACAATAACAACAGTTGATTGGCAAGTTTTCATGCTTGTAAACTGTTTAATAAATGTAACCAAAGCCGTCAAAGATTGAGGAAAGATGTACACGTTCGTAAGTATTTGCGTAAGTGCTTTCGTGAATCTGGCCCCAGGTCCCTGAACTTCTTAGGCTTCCACATTACCATGCGTACAGAAGCGCATATATTCGATCCTATTAAATGGCTTCAATAGTTTCTCACATATGACGTTCTTGGGGTTTTTATTATTGATATTTCTTTAGTCTATAATCCATTAATTGTCACCATCAAAATCCGATTTGTCATAGGATTGTGTCACTATGTGCTTGTCTTTTGTCCCGTCCTCTGAAAGTCTTTAACACACATTGGTGGACTATCCAATCCTTTCTAGCCTTACAAAGGAATTCAAATCTATCCCGAATGAAAAGTTGTATTTTTAAACCCCCTCATCAACATTAGGCTCTGGATAAGATATAGATTTTTGTTATAGATTTCAAAGGGTTACGTTCAGTGTGGGTTGATATTTTCAGATTGACAGCCAACTTCGGATTTGTACCTACGAGACCTACGAACGGTTTCGGCGCCACTACTTGTAAGTATAACATCCACCAAGTTTAAGTAAGTGTGCACTTAATTGGCTGCTTCAGGAGACAGGGTCTGTGTGATGTCAAGTCTCTGTGTGTATTTGCTATTTGTGCCTGCAGAATCGAGCTATTATCTCTTACACCCCGTCTTTCTACCCAATCTATTTTTCCTTCAGTTTCTGCCTCGGCCGTGAATCGAACCTGGGCCCATAGGACTATGACCCCCGAACGCTGGTGTGTGTGTGTATTCACCTAGTTGTATTCACCTAGTTGTGCTTGCGGGGGTTGAGCTCTGCTCTTTCGGCCCGCCTCTCAACTGTCAATCAACTGTTTCTACTGCTACCATTTTTTCCCCAACACCACACACCCCCACAGGAAGCAGCCCCTGACAGCTGACTAACTCCCAGGTACCTATTTACTGCTAGGCAATAGGGCCATAGGGTGAAAGAAACTCTGCCCATCGTTTCTCGCCGGCGCCCGGGATTGAACCCGGGACTACAGGATCCCGGGTGTGTGTGTGTGTAATTACCTAAGTGTAGTTACAGGATGAGAGCTACGCTCGTGGTGTCCCGTCTTCCCAGCACTCTTTGTCATATAACGCTTTGAAACTACTGACGGTCTTGGCCTCCACGTGTGTGTGTATGTGTGTATACTTTCATGTCAACTGCGTGAGTGTGCGCATGACTGCCTTCGTGTGTGTACACATCTATTTCAAGGTCCCAGCAATCTACCAGACTGTTGTTGTCAGAGGAATATCACTCTCCTCACGAACCAGACAATGACTCCCATATACACTAACGTACCCACGCACACCGCCACGAAACACGCACAGGGACTTATGGGGCGTCATTCATCAATATAACAATAGCGGGTTATTAGTCACGAAAGCCAAGCTTACCCAAGCTAGACATGCCATGAGGCTACAAATCCATCCGCAGCCCCACAACCTTCGATCCACGGATCCTTGAATAGTCACATGCATGCAATTGGCTCTCTCTGGTACTTCAATTGATATATACTTGAAAATGTGTTAGTACTCGAAAGCGTTTGATTTTTTTTCTCTCCTATGTGATATTTAAACATAACAGAGCCACCTGTTTTTTGTAATTATTCTTTATAGTTCAAGTATGTTTCTTGAGACAGAAAAATACATCTCAAAGGGATAGAGTAGCTTAGGCTATTTCTACTCCCAAATTCTCTCTCTCTCTCTCTCTCTCTCTCTCTCTCTCTCTCTCTCTCTCTCTCTCTCTCTCTCTCTCTTCTCTCTCTCTCTCTCTATATATATATATATATATATATATATATATATATATATATATATATATATATGTAAAGAAATTGAGGATTGAAACCCTCTATACATATCTGTTTCCCTTATATTCCTATCTAATAACAAATGATCTCGTCGCCTTCACTATCGCTAAACATACAACAATCAATGTTTATAGCGGTCAGAGACATTGAGAGCCGCTTTACGGGCTCGCCATAGCCCGTGCTACATGGACACTTCATTCTGAGTAGCTAAATCTAAAACAACAACAATAACATTCAGAGCCCAAATAGTATTAGGAAATGTACATGTTTATCTCTCAGAATGTTTGGTAATATGTTTATTGTTTGTGATGTGTTTATATGTATGTATTAACACGATGTACTGAACGGGGTGAGAATAGCTTGAGCTACCTCATCCCTTTGTGTGTATTTTACCTCACTAAACTTATTTCTATTTCAAGTAGTATCCTCCCCCGGAATAACAGCCAGTAATAAGGACTGACGGTAAAATGCCCACTCAATATATATCCTTTCACGACCAAAAGACCACATTCACTCCAGAAATCTATTGATTGATGAAGATTAAGCCACCCAAAAGGTGGCACGGGCATGAATAGCCCATAAGTGGTGGCTTTTTTGAGCCATTACCATAAGAGATGATACTAGAGATCTGTGAAGATGCAGTTACACCCTGCGTGACGGGAGATGTCTCCCGGACCAAATGGTGTCCAGAAATCTACCACGAAAGGTCTATTCATACCCGTACCACCTTTAGAGTTGCTTAAAAAATCAATCAATCAATCAATTCAGAGCTAGATTGAGGATCCAGCGACTCACCACAAATATCTCTATCCCCACAGCTGCGGTCAGCACGAATACTGCTGTTCACTAGGCTGCTGCGTCTCTACAGCTTTCTCCTTCTACCAGTTGTGGTATTTCTGGTGAGTGAGACTTACTGGCTTCACTGTAAACAAAATAATCAAATGCTGTAGTCCCTATAAGGCCAGTATCTTCATGATAAAAAACGTCATTTCTGATTTCGTGTTCGGATTTTAGGCTATCAACTACCTCTGGAAGGGTTATTAAGGCAACTACAATAGCTTACTAACTATATAGCAGGTATACTTTAGTCTTAAACATAGTCCAGGACTACAGTACCAGGTGCCAATTAAATAGGTACCATCAAAGCTAACCAAACAACAGCTAAATTGACTTTCTTTCCTGATGTCTTGTTTTTCCCCGCTTCGATGTAGGTTGTTGCTGCTACTGATTATCCTCCTGTGCTCTGGAGGCGGGTGGTGGTTCAGGTGGCGTCATGGTGGCTTCAGCAACCAGAACACGCCCACCAGCCTCCTCGCACGACGGCAGAGGAGGATTCGAACCCACGGTCACAACGCTATTAACGTCTACCCGCACCCCCATACATTCTACGGTGGCAGGGTAGCGGGCCAGCATGAGTATCATCTGCCGCCCGGTTATGATAAGGGTGAGTTGTGTGTGTGTGTGTGTGTGTGTGTGTGTGTGTGTGTGTGTGTGTGTGTGTGTGTGTGTGTGTGTGTGTGTGTGTACTCACCTAATTGGCTCTTTGGTCCCGCCTCTCAACAGTCAATCAACTGGTGTACAGGTTCCTGAGCCTATTGGGCTCTATCATATCTACACTTGAAACTGTGTATGGAGTCAGCCTCCACCACATCACTGCCTAATGCATTCCATTTATTAACTACTCTAACACTGACACTATGTGTGTGTGTGTGTGTGTGTGTGTGTGTGTGTGTGTGTGTGTGTGTGTGTGTGTGTGTGTGTGTGTGTGTGGTGTGTATATGTGTGTGTGTGTGTGTGTGTGTGTGTGTGTGTGTGTGTGTGTGTGTGTGTGTGTGTGTGCATATGTGTGTGTGTGTTGTGTGTGTGTGTGTGTGTGTGTGTGTGTGTGTGTATGTGTGTGTGTGTGTGTGGTGTGTGTGTGTGTGTGTGTGTGTGTGTGTGTATGTGTGTGTGTGTGTGTGTGTGTATATGTATATGTGTGTGTGTGTGTGTGTGTGTGTGTGTGTGTGTGTGTGTGTGTGTGTGTGTGTGTGTGTGTGTGTACTCACCTAATTGGCTCTTTGGTCCCGCCTCTCAACAGTCAATCAACTGGTGTACAGGTTCCTGAGCCTACTGGGCTCTATCATATCTACACTTGAAACTGTGTATGGAGTCAGCCTCCACCACATCACTGCCTAATGCATTCCATTTATTAACTACTCTGACACTGACACTATGTGTGTGTGTGTGTGTGTGTGTGTGTGTGTGTGTGTGTGTGTGTGTGTGTGTGTGTGTGTGTGTGTGTGTGTGTGTGTGTGTGTGTATGTGTTTGTGTGTATTTAATATTTCTATTTACTATCTGTGCCTGCGGGATTGAGCTCAGTAAGCTAAAATCAAACTGTCTAACACTTCTATGGTTCATCTGTCTCAATCTTCCACCCTTGTCCCGTTAGTGTATACACCTCTCTAATATTGGATTTCCACTCTGTCAATCCCACTAAATATATTTTATACGTCGCTATCATGTCTCCTCGCTCCCATTTTCTGACGTAGGTGGAGGCATACCTTAGAATCATCCAAGTGATCTATCCTTCACCACCAGGTTACCAAGTCCTTCAATCTTTCCTCAAGGAGTGCATCCATGTCGTTATCTTAGTCTATATCTGCCTTTGACTTCCTCCTCTACCTCATTCTCAAGCCCAACCACTTAGATTGGACGGTAGAACGAAGGTCTCGCTTCACGCAGGTCGGCGTTCAATCCCCGACCGTCCCCAACTGGTTGGGCACCATTCCTTTCCCCCGTCCCATCTCAAATCCTTATCCTGACCCCTTCCCAGTGCTATAGACTCCCGCAGCGCTCGGAGTCAATTGAAGATGTTTCCTCTCACTTGCATGTGTATAATTTAAATTACTCCTTGCAGTACCATGTGTATAATTTACCTTTCAATATGTGTCATCCAGGTGCCCCAACCATGAGGCATCGTGCAGGTGAATGTCAGTATCTGACATTTAACGTATAACTACGCAGATGTGACTTTCAAAGGACAACCGGACTTTGAAAGAGAGAGAGGAGAGAGAGTATCTGAGATTTAAGAGAGATAGAGGAGAGAGAGAGAGAGAGAGAGAGAGAGAGAGAGAGAGAGAGAGAGAGAGAGAGAGAGAGAGAGAGAGAGAGAGAGAGAGAGAGAGAGAGAGAGAGAGAGAGAGAGAGAGAGAGAGAGAGAGAGAGAATAATATTTTCTCTTTCACAGACCCTCCGTCCTACAATGAGGTCATCAACCACCTGAGCCTATTCCCCAGGGCTGATGCTGTCCGCAGAGGTGAGGATAGGCTATCTTAGGATGGTTTGGGGTTGAGTTTCAACCCGTCCTCTTAAAAATAACGTCACTTTTGGCTCGTATGCGCCAAAATTTGGACGTAATTTGAAATGAAATCGACTCACAAAAGTGACGTACTGTTCCGTTTTCTGTTTGAGTCGTCCGGTCGACTCTGTAAGGTTAAAATAAATGACTTTCTATTAACGTTTTTCATAATATTTTGAAACTTTATGAGAATTTATTGGGGTTGAGTTGCCTACATTAGCTAAAAGTTATGCTGTGTCAGGATCGTTTGGGTTAGGCTGTGCTGGGGGTTAGGCTAGAAGGTTAGGTTAAGTTAGACTTTAAAATCCATGAAAACCCGTCATTCCTTACGACATAACTTACATCTCATTTGACTCTGGGCAGTTTTGGAGACCAGCTTTCTTTGCTGCGTGTCTGATTAGTTTATAAGATACATAAACAAGATAAACAAGGTTTATAAGATAGAAGATACTGTTGTGTTTTGTATGATTAAATTATGTAGAGAGGCTTTCTTTAGTTAGTACACTGTTTAATGCTTGTAGTTGGGTTTGGAATGATTAGATATAATGGGTTTATTTTGAAGAAGAGGTTGGGTTCTGGTAGACAGGTGTGAAGAACAAGTTGGGTTCTTGTAGACAGGTGTGAAGCACAAGTTGGGTTATCGTAGACAGGCGTGAAGAACAGGTTGGTTTCTGGTAGACAGGTGTGAAGAACAAGTGTGTTTCGTGAGTCTAATTATCCCTGTTGTGTTGCAGAAGCTGGAGACCAAAGTGGCGGTGGAGGAGGGGCCGGACACTCATCCTTCGATGAGTGCCACTTGTCTCTTCCTCCACCTAGCTACGAGATGGTCCTCGACTTGAAGCGACGCGAGATGCAGTTCCAGCGCGAGATGGGCGACGAGGAGGAACAGACGCCAAGAGTCCACAGCGCAAGAAGTAGGATTAGGAGACTCTTAGGTAAGATGCGAACTCTTGGGAACAACCAGAACGATTCACCGGCTCTTGATGACTTCACGCCTCCCGAAGACTCTTATTCATCTGCCGTGCCGCCTGCAGGGTTATTCACCATCAGTAGAGAGTCACTCCCCTCGCAGGAATTTTATCTCCAGCCTTCGACATCGTCAGGACCTTCCAATTCCTCAGGTCCTTCTGAGAGCAGTCATTTAACATCAGATTCGGATACCTCGTCTCACTCCGATTTCTCCGTCCAATCATTCATCCTGAACCCTTCACCATCCAGGAGATCCATGGAATCGTCTCCAGCACATCTTCAAGAATATATTCCTAGTGCTCCCTCTGCCATTCAGGTACTCACTCCAGCACATCATTACCCAGAATACATTTCCAGCGCCTCTTCGGCTATGCAAGTCGCCATTCCAATGCCACAGGAGCCCGAAATCGCCGAAGAATTCGAGCCGCTGGAACATGCTGGTACTAACAGACCGTGTACTGGAAGGTCCGTGCTGTCCAGGCCCACGACGTCCATCAGCACAAGAACCCTTACACCTCCTAGAGAAGTTGTGAGGAAGACCAGCCTGCCAGGGACGGTATTGGAAGCCGAGGAGGAGATCAGGAGTGACAGGTGAGGCTACAGGCCTTCTACATATACACACAAGCACAGCTGTGATTGCAATCATCTATCCACCTTTCTTATCTTTTTATACCCCATGTACCGAAGCTGATATCACCTATAGCTACTATGAATCGAATCTACACAATTTGTATAAACTGTATTCTCATCATTCTAATCGAATATGTTTTGCTATTATAAGTCTCACCGCTCTATGTGTATGTACGCTATGCAACCCATTCTCAGAATTGTTAGTACGGTTTAATACTAAGTGTAATAAGTACATTCCCTTACTGTCATACATAGTACATAAGTGCACTTAAGGGACTGTTAACGGGCTGATGCTATAAGACTCACGGCTGTACAGCTGTCCACTTCAGCTACTCCTGCAATGATTTGTACGAATCCACTTACGAATACAACTAAATAAAAACCACAACAACTTAACTTGTCCTGGACCTAAATAAACAATCCTAGGCCTAACTTGCGCAATCTTAGGACTTATAATATATATATATATATATATATATATATATATATATATATATATATATATATATATATATATATATATATATATATATATATGGCACAACTCTCCTAAACACGAGAGTTAAGTATACAACTTTAGAACACTTTCCCTGTCTCGAGTCTCCTGGTGGGAAAGTGTTCTAAAGTTATATATATATATATATATATATATATATATATATATATATATATATATATATATATATATATATATATATATATATATATATATATATATATATGCCTTCTTTTTCCAGTCTTCTACAAAATCGATAATATAAAACGTAGACCACTTTTTTTTTTAGGGTTCAAAAGTTCATATTTTGTTCATTTCATTCATAGTAGCTGTTGGCACCTTCAGTTTAGGATAACAGGATAGCCTAGTTATGTAAAGAGTATCACATTATTCTAATCAATCGAGAGTATTCATATGAAACTTTCACAATGTTTCGATTTGCCGCATCATACGCAAATTTTAAGATAAATTAGCCTATCTTTGCCTGAAAATAAACACAGATTAAGTATTCCCCCGAATGTTTGCTTGTTCATACGCAAATTTTAAGATAAATTAGCCTATCTTTCCCTTAAAATAAACACAGATTAAGTATTCCCCCGAATGTTTGCTTGTTCATACGCGAATTTTAAGATAAATTAGCCTATCTTTGCCTCAAAATAAACACAGATTAAGTATTCCCCCGAATGTTTGCTTGTTATAAATGAAATATGAGGTAATATATCTGAAATATGTGTATATAATGCCACCTAAAAGTTCATCTTACAATCCTATCTCAAGAGAATGATTAATCATACGTGGAATCAGAAGTAAACAATAGATACGAGTCTAGCCTAATTCTGAATAAAATATGGGAATATCTTACGATATCCGTTAGTGAATGGAATAGTTACAACCACGCTCAAAAGTGCATCGAAATGTCGACTGTACCTATCTTTATTTGTATATACTTATCCACATACATCTATCCTTATACCTGTCTAACACTGTGCATCTGTTTATGTATGAATGTCTATTCATCCATCCATCCCTGTCATTCCCGTTTGTCTATCACATAATCTATCTCTTCCAAGCCTTCCTATATCCCATCTATTCCATGACAGAGAAGAAGCCTTCGATCTCAGTATAAGAAATAGAACAGAAACCTCAATGCCAGGGGCCAGATTCACGAAGCTGTTGCGCAAGTACTTACGAACGTGTACATCTTTCCTCAATCTTTGACGGCTTTTTTTACATTGATAAAACAGTTTACAAGCATGAAAACTTCCCAGTCAACTGTTGCTATTGTTATAAACAGCCTCCTGGTGCTTCGGAGCTCATTAATTGTTTAAGAATTGTAAACAAAGCCGCTAAAGATTGTGAAAAGATGTACAGGTTCGTAAGTGTTTGCGTAACTGCTTCGTGAATCTGGTCCCAGAATCTCTTGCCTCTCAATTAACTTTGAGTGAAGTTAAGTGCAATTACCGTCTAATAATAATAATAGAAATAGCTGTAAACATTATCCATAAACAAAAACATAAGAAAAAATATATATATATAAACGGTCCCTGTGTCAATGGCAGCCATGGATGAAAGTGCATTCGTGCAAAATGTAAACAATCTCACCCGGGAGACGGAAGCAATAACATTACAACTTAATTAAGTCTCGTCGCTGCCCTTCACAACAACAACAATTGAAATTGAAATTGAAATAAGTTTATTGATGTAAAATACACACAAAGGGATGAGGTAGCTCAAGCTATTCTCACCCCGTTCAGTACATCGTGTTAATACATACATAGACACACATTACAAACAATAAACATATTACCAAACATTCTGAGAGATAAACATATACATTTACAACAACAACAATAGATTAATACAACAACGTTCAAGACTTTAAACAAAATTGTAATTGGTTATTTTTTATAATTGGTTATTTATTTGTTATTCGTTATTTTTATAATTAGTCACTTTTGTAATAGTTTAATTGTATAAATGATTACTTCACCATTGCTATGTATTATGGTTATTATATTTATACAATTTTTATAATTGGTTTTGATATAAAACAATTAATAAGCAAAAATATAAGTTACATTGTAAAAAACAATTAAAAATGTTAGCATTTAATACCTTAAAAAAAACAATCACAAAATAGTATGGCAAATTCAAATTATTATTATATTGTTAATTTAATTTTTTATTATTTTTAAAATAATATTTCTTAATAAAAATAAGCACTAGTTGCATTACTTTATATTGGTACATATTATAGCAATGCTATTTTAAATAAAATCTTTATTATTTAATTTTAATTTAAAGGGAATGTCATTCTATACAAAAAAAAAAATATATAAATGCCTTACATCCTTTTCTTTCATACTGTGAAAACTGATATTATAATTATCTAAAAGTAATTAAAAACATAACAAACCTAAAATAAAATAAACCAATTATAAATAAAAATAACAAATTAACTCTCCCAAACAATATTCTCGCGAGTAGTCGTATGTAATATCTCTGTATTTATCATGAGAATACAGCCAAGATCTAACCTATATATATATTTTCCATATATATGTAAATTTTCAATTCCTGTTACCAGCTGAACTTTGAAACACGAATGTAAACTCGCTGCCGAAACACTTTGTGATAGTCTACACTTCTATGTTTTGTTTATATAGATGTGTTTTCCCTTGATGTTGAATATATATGTCGTACCTTATATAGCCTGGCCTAGTACGCAAAGGCCGATTTGCCTATTAGGCCGAGTGATTTTTCATTATTTTCAAATATTTCTTTCCAAATTAGTTCATCAATAACAATAATACGTTATATTAAAAACATGAATTACTGGGTCAATTATTTTATGTTAGGTTAGGTTAGGTTAGGTTAGGGTAAGTTAAGTTTTGTCAAATTTCATGTTAGTTTTGATTACAAAAATCGCATTCATATATATATATATATATATATATATATATATATATATATATATATATATATATATATATATATATATATATATATATATATATATATATACAACGAAAAACTTTATTAGCTCATAAGATAAATTTGAAAAATGTAATATATCAGAGGAATTCGGCTTGTTAGGCAGCTCTGGCTATTAGGTAGGACAAATATATATTTTAGCCTATGTGAACCAGGAACATTTCAGTGATACCAGATTATAACACTCCGTCTAAATCCTTTTTTCTCATTACCCTAACATACCTCTCATCTTTCAAGACCATCTGGGTTCAGTTGGTAACACTGATCTCAACTACCACAGCCGAAAGCCTAAAAATCATCGATTGAAAACAAGCAAGCAAAAACGCTCTTGGGCTGGACGGTAGAGCGACGGTCTCGCTTCATACAGGTCGGCGTTCAGTCCCCCGACCGTCCACAAGTGGTTGGGGCACCGTTCCTTACCCCCGTCCCATCCCAAATCCTTATCCTGAACCCACAAGTGCTATATAGTCGTAATGGCTAGGCGCTTTCCTCTGATAATTCCATCCCTACTACTTCAAAACATTGGCTAAATGATCGTCAATCTATGGCGGAAAATTGACAGTTTAACGTTGATAAAAAGCTAATTCCTTAGCCCTAGAGAGAGAGAGAGAGAGAGAGAGAGAGAGAGAGAGAGAGAGAGAGAGAGAGAGAGAGAGAGAGAGAGAGAGAGAGAGAGAGAGAGAGAGAGAGACAGAGAGAGAAAATGATGCTGGATAAAATTTGTTAGATTTGCCAGTCGTGGATAGCAGTGACCCGAGATAGCAGTGACCCGAGATAACAGGGACCCGAGATAACAGAGACCCTAGATAGCAGTGACATGAGATAGCAATGACCTAAGACTGAGACGGTAACGGATCTTCTCTGAAAACTACTATTTCAAGTAAAGACAAATTTCAAGTATACAAGAAACAATACTTTAGTTCTGAACATAGTCCAGGACTAACGTAAATTCTCACTTCATACACACCGAAAAGCTGGGTAAACTTCTCCAGTAAGAGGTTTACCCAGCTTTTCTGGGTAAACCAGAAAAGCTGAGTAAACCTCAACGTGGGTAAACCTTTATGGAATAAGCACAAATAGCCTACTGGGTAAGTAGGCTATTTAACTTCAGGCTATTTTATAAATATCCTCCTTATTCCAGGCTATTTATGCTTCTAAATTAATAGGAATTCTAATCAGTGCTCCACATCACGGGCCATTAAGGTAAGAATGAGGGACCGCTTCTGCGAAATGAGGGAATTAGGTCAGTGTCTTGTACGTGCGAGATCTTTATCACTCATGGGAGGAGGGGTAGGAGGCTCTGACATCAATACTACTCAGTTAAACAGGCGAAGAGTCAAGCCAATCGATTTGAGAATGGTCCAGGACTTGACAATTGACTTGAGAATGGTCCAGGACTTGACAATCGATTTGAGAATGATCGAGGACTTGACAATCGATTCGAGAATGGTCCAGGACTTGACAATCGACTTGAGAATGGTCCAGGACTTGACAATCGACTTGAGAATGGTCCAGGACTTGACAATCGACTTGAGAATGGTCCAGGACTTGACAATCGACTTGAGAATGGTCCAGGACTTGACAATCGACTTGAGAATGGTCCAGGACTTGACATCGACTTGAGAATGGTCCAGGACTTGACAATCGATTTGAGAATGGTCCAGGACTTGACAATCGATTTGAGAATGGTCCAGGACGGACCGAAACGTCGTCGTCCCTTCACCTTCTAGTGTGTGGTCTGGTCAACTACTCAGTTAAACTTCTCAAGAGTCAAACTTAATCTGTGTAAACAATCTAGACAAATAACTGGACCTAGTCTATGAACTCACTAACGAACTGAAAAGCTGTCCACCTTTTGCCATATTCAAAAATAAAACCAAAAAGTACCTAATTTCATCTTCATAGTTTGCTACTTAGTGCTTTAAACTCGTACAGTATCTTGTGCTACCCAATCCCCCAATATATGTACCTA